GTGTAGAATAAAATCACCATTTTTGTTTAAACTCGAGTGAGACCATAATTATTTTTCAGATCTACTTTATCTGTCAAAAGAGTGATATGGTCCCAACTCGTAAAATTACACATTAAATCTCAAAGGCACGATCCTCTCTTGATATGTACGAACACATGCTACATAAAACAAGAAAATATATAAACATGGCTGTTTAAAAGCCATTTGGAAAGCATAATAACCCAAAATATACATCACACTATCTTAACAAAATAATGTTTAATGATGACAGTTTAAGTTTGCAATTACATGACATTCTTGAGCAAAATATCACTTCTAGTTATGGCAAAAGATTTAAAACTGCAAAAACAACTGAAGCATTTATTCATTTATATGCCATTTCAAGATGAAAAACCCTGCCAAGGGCAACACTCTAGTAGTATAACACACATCTTTGTCTTTTTTCTTTTAAGGAGCAGTAAAGGTAAAAGAAAAAAAAAATTAAAACAAGGAGATATCTACATCTACTGGCAATATCTAATGATCAATGAATCTGCTGCTACTGCAATAAATTTGCTTAAAACAAAGCTCTTCCTTTAATGGTTTTCATTTTTATTTTATTTTTTTTTAACACAGCAGGCTCCCGATTCAAAGAGGGGATGACTGATGCTGGCTTACAATATGGCTCTGTAGTAAACTATGCCAGTATTACTATCAAATCACCCCTCACGAAACTCCCTTCCTACCCACCAAGCAATCAATTTAACAAAGATCTAAACAGCTCACAGTTTAAACATTCAAATAAATTCCGCTTTCCTTCTCCTCCTCTATGCTTATTTAAAGAATGGGAAATCACAAGTCACTGGAACAGACCCAGACATCATTTTATCCATTTACTTTTATTGACAAGATTGCATATTGAATTCAAGTGAGTCAAGGAAAAGGAGCAATGGTTTCACACGTCCATGATACGTGAGAAATGAAGATGAGCACCAATTCCGAGGCACAACGCTAGGAGTTACACCTGACTGCAGAAACTCACTCGCGTTCTAACAGAGCAAAAATAAAACATTATCTGTATGAAATCTCATATCAAGTTTTGTCCGTATAATATAATACTCGATAAATCACACTGCAGGACTTTATATAAAAGGAAACTGATGGCACAACAAAGCCTATCAACTATCCAAAATAAATCCTACTTTCAGTTTGATAAACTCCAGAACAAATACACTGGAAAAAGTAGGGAAAAGAAGGTATTTACTCAGCAGACCCCTTTCTCCAATCTGGCATCTCTCTTTTATCTGGAAGTAAAACCCATTCTGTTACACTCACTTCACAAACAATGCAATCATGTAGATGGATTATTTACCCTAAAAACAACAGGAAACTTCACCTCACAGCTGCTCCCCTGTTACAAGCAAGTTCAGCTTCCAGTCCATCGGGCACAGAATAGGATCCATGGATGCCCGCACAGACCACATCAGAAAAACCGATCAAATTGCGTAGGACAAACTTATTTATATTTGGGAATCCTTTAATATCAGCTAAGACTTTAGAAAATACAATTCTGAAACTTTAAAAATCAGCTCAGTCAATCTATGTCAATGTATATAAGAAGCCGTGAGGAATATGTCCAACTTAATTTTTTTTGTGTTTTTTTTTCTTTTTTGACAGCAAAAGACAATGAGAAAGATTTTCTCTTCCTTATTTTTTACTCCTCCCTCAGTACCTTCAGCAGCAGATTAATCTTTTGTTTCTCCCTGACAACAACGTGGACTGAAAAAAAATCTTGTTTACCTATTGCTAATTGGGAGAGTTTGGGCCACCCAAACCTCAATCATTCACAGTAATTGCATTTTATATTTCAAAATTAATACTTTTCTCTTTTTTTAATTCGAACTGATTTCCCTTGTCCAGAGGGCAGGCAACTACAGTCAGCATTTTCCAACACTGGGAAAGAAAAAAACATCTCTTGTTAAAGCTAATGAGCATTTGGCCATCGTTCAAGGTTTAGGATCACGAATCAAGCAAACATTCATGTTCTTGAAATGCAGTCTTCTGTTGTTTCAGTACAATAAAAGGAATATCCTAATTTGAGAATCAACCGAATGAACGCCTTCCATGTTACTAGCCCACACACCAACGACAGGTTGTTCCCATCTCTGAAGTCTCAGACCACTGTTTGCTACTCTAAGCATTGCTGTCTTTCCTATTTATACCTCCCTTACTGATCTGACTTCACCTGTTGCCACATTTACTATTTAGCCCATAAACATTTTGGGGGCAGAGACAACCTATTTGTTATGTACTTGTAGACCACTCAGAGTAATAATGCACTGATCCATGGCTGGGGTTCCCATGAGATAATTCAATATTATTAGAGTGATCTTCTCTTGGTTCACAATCCATCCATGCTCTCCAGGAAAAATACTTTTAAGTCTACAGCTTTCATATGATTCAGGCTAGCTAGCATGCAGCAAAGACATCTTCAGAGGCCAGCTTCTCTTCTTGAGGCTAATATGCTGAAACTATTGACTTCGACATTCCTCAAAGTTGTGACGATTCAATAGTACGACACAGTAATACAAATTTTGAGTGCAAAACCCAACAAAATCAATATAATAAAGACAATGAAATGGTTAATGGAATACAGAAGACATGGATGAAGTTCGTTTTCAGGATGTAAAGAGCAAAACTAAGGATGGCAGAACCAGTCGCTATAATTAAGATTGCCCCACATTTCCTAATTGACTGAATCAAATAAACAGGAAATAGTATTTTAATAGAGCGGGGGAGAAAAAATACACTAACTAGTTAAATAGGTATTGTATGACCTCATAGCTTATTTTTATGTTATATTTAAAATATGTAAAGCTAATACTAAATTGGAGTCACTTAGGTTTTGGAGAGACCTTCAGAGAGAGGTCAGGTAGTCAAGCCTCTGGTTCCAAGCTAGTCTAGCAAGAAAGCACAAGAACTAGTCTAGCTAGCAAGAACAAGGTGCTTGGGGATCTTGTGCAGTCAAATTTTGAGCATCTCCAAGGATAGAAATTCCAGTCTCTTTGGCTCAATATTTTAGTTGTATTGTTTTTTCTTTTACAGAGTTAAAATCTCCCTGCCTCAGCCTGTGTCCATTGCATCTTGTCCTTCCACTGTGCAGCTCTGAAATGAACTTGGCTGTGCTTTCTGCTATATCCTCCCATTAGGAAGTTGTAAACAGCAGTAAGATCTTCCCTGAGCTTTCTCAGGATCCTCAAAGTATAGTTTGTCTACAGCAAGGCTGCTATCTTCTACCTGTGAATCTCCCTTTCTTCCTCTTTATCTCAGTTCTCTGAAGGCCATAACATATGGGAGGCTTTACTCTCACTTTGCCTTTACCCTCTTTCTATGATACCCTTCACTTCACTGCACAAGCCTTCACTTTACTGGCTATAATAGCAAAAAATCATATAATTGGAATGCTTATCAACAGATAAATCAGTATCTTGCTGTTTTGTAAGTTCTCTATAGTCAGCAAGTGTTGTATACTTTTAAACTAAAATACTCAATCCATTCAACTGACAATATTTAAAATATGATATTTAAAATATGATGAGGTGTCCAAGGCAGCAAAAAACATTTCTGTTTCACAAACTGTGATGTGTAAACAGTGATTCTTCTCACTCACTGGCTGTATTACTAGGACTTTATCAGCTAAGACTTTACCACGACGCTCATGAACAGTATTTTCAAGTTATAAAGAATTTAAGTATTCAATGCTGAAGTAAAAAGGAATAAAATTAAATTTAAAGACAACTGCAATATTTAAAGTGAGTTACGTATAATCCAAAAGATGGAAAGGTATGACATTTAAAGGATATCACAGACACAATTAAGAATTCTATTTCATAAACGATCCAGCATTTTAATGAAAAAAAGTTAATTCTCAATGGAATTTTAAAATGTAGATGAAGAAAAATTAACATGTAATTACACAGTGAAATTATCATAGCTTTATTTTAAAATCAAAGGAGGGGAACTTCCTGTATCATTCCTACCTCATGGCATCTTTTGTTAAGTTTATTTTGTACACTATTTTTATTTCAAGCTGAGATTTCTTCTTTACACCAGCATTATCACAAAATGTTAATCAGCCATGCCTGACAGAATTCCCCAGTGATCCGCAGCAAGTGCTGATGCTTTCACTAATACCCAGTCTTGAGCAACTTACTTTTGTTAGATTTCCCAGGATGGTGAGCATGCTTTAGCTTCATCCTTCCATTTCCAGATCAGCTCTCCGTGATTAACAGAGCTGAGGCTGCAGACAGACCTTAGCCTACACGTTACACTTGTATCAGCCATGGACATCCATTTTGTTCGGTATCTACAATCTGAGTGTTTCTCAGGCTCCAGGAAGCAGACCCATATACTACCAGTTCTGATCTTAGTTAAAAATAGAATCATTTAAAATGAATTTTAACAGCTAACACAGAAAGCATAATTCAAGAATGGCAGTGGGTACTGAATTATGCAGTTTTACTACCTGGATGGGCAAACTGAAAACATTCAAATTAATAGCTGTGATATCAATTATAAAAATAGCTCCTAAGCAGCTCCCTTGGCAAAGCAGCTGCAAAATGCCTTGAACTCCTCTATCCTCGAAAATGGAACAACACAAAGAACAAAACAGTGACCATATTAGAGCTCTCAGCATCTGCCTTGTGAGGGGAAAACGTGAAAAACAAGGAAAACCTTCAGCCTCCACTGACATCTGATCAAGCAACTTGGTTGTTTTTAAATGCAGAATGAATAGTTGCTGGGGTATAAATGCTGGCCTTATTAAAAAAAAACTGATACAGAATAAATCCTGAAAGTGTGCGTGCATGTATTAGTATGTATATGCCCAAAGACTTCTCAGAAGGATGTTGTCTGACTCCGCATGAGTTTGATTTTGTTTATACCAGTGTTATCTGGAAAAGAGGTCAGGCGGGTTTTGTTTGCCTTGCAGAAAGCATTTTGCACTCCGGGACGGCGCTTACCTGCTGGGCCTGGTACCTCTGCTGGGCCTGCGACAGATACTGCGCCTGGGGCGGCAGGTGCTGCGGCTGCTGGTTGTAGTACGGTTGCTGGCCCTGCTGGCAGTAGCCGCTCACGCCTTGCTGACCATACTGGGGCGGTATCTGTTGGAAGAGCCAAGCAGAGCAAATACGTGAGTCGAGATACAGGAGACATGAAGCCGAGCTCAGTTACAGCTGTACTTTAACCAGGCTAGGTGTGATATCCTCAGCTGCAGCCCCGACCCACCCATCCCTGCTCTTGTACCTCAGAGTTAATGCAAGCCCTTAGATCCTCTCCTGAGCAAGAGGAGCAAGCCGGAGTGCTCTCTATACAGGTTCCCTTTTCAGGAAGGATTTCTAAGGAAAACGGTATCCTTCTGTACAGCACCATCCCAAAATGTCCAGTCTTAAAATACAGAGGCAGTCATTTTAAAGTTTGCTTTCCATAGGCACACCGCTGAGCCAAATCTACAGAGGAATCATGTTGGTACATTGACCCAAAAGCAGAGCTGGATAGCACAACTCTAAAATAGACATTGACAGAAATGCCATTTTTATGGAGCAATAAAATACTGGCTTTTGGTGATTATTTTTTTTTGCACAAAACCCTCACATTTTTAGCTTTTGTGCATACATGTGTTTAACCTTTACACACACACACACAAAATTAAAGTTTGGTAGGTTTTTGTCTTTCCTCTCTCTTTCAATCTCTTTCTCCTGCCCCCACAAAGGTAAATCTTTTTAAGCAAAAAAAAAAAAAAAAAAAAAAAAGAGCATAACATAAATAAAATAAATAACAAAATAAACTGTTAAAAACTCCTGTTAACAGACAAATCAGCACATGTATCATACACTAAGAAATCTTCCCTGCACACTGAGAATTTAAATTATAACCACGATCAAGCTCATTACAATTTATCAGATGAAGTTTTCTGTTACAGTTTAGGCATTAAGCCTTGTATCAATAGACATTGACATTTTCATGAGATATTTAAAAAAAAACAACAGACTTTCAGTAAGCTCCTGATATTGTATCTGTATTATCAGCCCCTATTCTAGATACTTGTTTTCTCCCCCAACACTGGTATTTATAGCATTTCAGGTGAACGCCATACAATGTAGGATTTCCCCCCCATGGGCAATGGATCTCCCATTGGTCCTGCACATCTCTGCCCTAAGCAAACGTCTTGGATATCTGAGTGCATCTGAGAGGCTTTGATCTTGAACTTGTTCCCACCAAGACTCTGATACTCTGATAAATCTGTTTACTCAACATACAAACACATACCTGTTTTACCTAAAGTTAGCTTATGGTATTCACTAAACAATACAGTAATATTTACAAGGCAATAATCACAATATAAAGTTAAATTTCAACATTTGTTTAGGTGTTTGGGGTTTTTCTTTTTGTTGCTGTTGTTTTGTTTTTAAACCATCACACCTTGATCTGTTACTACTACTTCTGCCAGGAGCTGGTAGTCCTAGTTTTTGCGAACTCCTCACCTCAACACTTCAGCCCCACATCTACACTTCCTCTCCTTGCTTGCACATCAGTTTCTCAATTTCCTCCATCACTGGCATTTTTGTATGACCACACATACCGTTTTTGACAAACACCCTCTTCCTCTGCTGATGTATAAGCGAGCCAGTCAGAATGCAAACTGAAAAGAGTTTCACCAAGCAAACAGGCAGCTGGAGTCTGGGACCTGACAGAGGACCATAAGGTGATTTCTTTGTCAGGTGCCAAGGTCATAGAGCCTGGACTGGTTCCTAGGAAATGTTGAGGAGAAACCTATGCTGCAGTCCATCTGGGCCCCAGTAGCATTGGGAAGAAAAGGAAAGAGATGCTGACAGCTAAATATGGGCTACTGGGAAGAGGGTGAAAGAATCTCGATGCCTGGTTGACACGATGATGACAAAGGAAGACGTCAAGAAAGCAGAAGGAACTGGAGCACTTCTGGAATAAAGATACTTGTATAGGAGTACAGAGCTCACCTCAACGTAGGATTCAGACTGCTGATTCCTAAGAATCAAGAAAGCGGACTTCTAAGCTGAAGAGAAGGGTTTAGAAACACACGGTTCAAAAGCTTGACACTGGTATTGCAAATTACAACACAGAGGTACTGGGTTATCAAGTAAAGCTGGTCAGAAGAATCAAAGAATGAAGACAGGCGCACAGACAGACAGATTGCAGACTAAACAGGGTGACAAGTAGTAAACACAACATTGCCTTCTACACAAGAGTGAGAGTAGAAGAGAAACTGGAAGACTGGGGCATGAAGCCACAAACAGAAGCACTAACCGTAGTCCCAGGAGAAAGCTGGTTAATGGAGGCGATTCGCAGGACGCTATTCTGCATCATGCCAGGACACAAATACATAGGGAAGACAGCTGGTGACATCGTAGTAGTATATACTATAGAGTTTAGAGATAAATTAAAACAGAACTCCCCCTCACAGAGCAGTAGAATTCCAAAAACCCTGAGTTTGTTCCGAAAACCAAGAGTGAGTGCTGGGGCCACCAGGGTTGGCCGGACTGTGGTGACACCGACAGCAGCACACCGCGAGAGATCAGCGAAGGCAGGGCATCAAGCGGCAGTGGGAGACTGCGACTGCCTGCATGTAGACTGAGCAAGTGGAACCCGACTCAGGAAGCTCCAACAGCCAGCTGGGAGAAATAAAACCTGGGTGGCAGCATCAAAGCTGGTTAACAACCATCACGTGGAAAGCGCAGAACTGATATTCGCCACCTATTAAGAAAGACTTGAGAAGAGCAAAGGGACATCAGCGTGGCTCATGGCAGGTTTCCAGAAGCAAAAAGGCGTCCTTCAATAAGCCAACACACCAAGTCCAAATGTAGAAAACAAAAAAGAATGTAAACTCTGGCACTTCACATGTAATAAGGCAAGCCAGAAGGAACTGGAGAAACAGCTAGGAAAGCGAATCAAGTGAGTAATGAATCATTTCTTCAAACACATCAGGAGCAGGAGGTCTGCCAGAAAGTCTGAAGTGCCAAGTAATGATCAAGGTATCAAAGGAGATTCAGAGAAAATGAGGACATCACAGAGAAGCTTAATGATTTTTTTTTTCTTCACTAGTGTGCACTGTGGAAAAATCTTGGGAGGTTCCCATGCTGGAGTCCTTCTTTGTGAGGGACTCAAAGAATGTGCCTGAATATGATGGAGCTATTCATGGAACAAACTGACAAATGAATAGTATGAAATGCTCATGACGATACATCCCAGAGGTCTAAATGAATTCAAGAATGAAATAGCTGAATTATGAATGATGGTATGTAACCTCTAACTCAGAGCTGCATTGGTATGCGAGAACTCAAATATGTTATTTTATTTATTTATTTTTTTTAAAGAGAGATTTGAGGAATTTAAGACTGTAAAGGATTGATGACTGTACAGAATAAATGAGTACAAGCAAGAATGAAGATGAGAATTACGAAACATCAACATAGCTTTTGCAAGGGAAAAATCTCTCTTGACTTCTTCGATTTATTAGGGAAGGGTCAAACACAAAGGTTCCGAGAAATGCTACAGGAATCAAAGGTACAGAACAGTGTCCATGCAAGGAGTGTAGCAAGCTAGAGCCCTTCAAGTCTGAAAAAGACACTGAGAAATGAGAACATGATAGAAAGCTAACAACCACCCTGCCCAACACAACAAGCAGAAGGCATTAAATGAAGCTGGTAGAAGTAAACCTCACAGGCAGGGTCTCCAGCCAGAGGTAGCAGGCGTCTGAAACTCCTTGCCAGAGAGTGTTTTGAAAACTGAAAGTTCATGTGGGCTCAAGCAAAGACTGGACAATTTCAGAGAAGATACATCCTCTGAGGGTTACCAAATATACAGAGCCACATCTGGCTCAGAAAGTCTCTGAGCTGAAAACAGCTGGAGGCTTGAAGAGCACTGGGGGAAGTATCATATGCTTGCTTTGCTCTGACTCTTCTCTAGGCATCCAATTAGAGCTGCTGCTGGAGATGGGATACGGGGCTACATGAAACCTTCATCTGACCCAGCGCGCCCGTCCCTGTGTTCTCATCGTCTCTTTGCAATACGTCTTTGTCTCCCTTGAGAAAGCAAGGAAGATTTGGCCTGCGAGATACCTCGGTACCAAATTAAGTAACCCGAAGAGGCAATAACACCTTTATTGCCAGAAGCTGGGAGATTGCTCCAAGCCCTTAAACGCTATCCCCGCTTCCAGACAGTGGTGCGAAAGAGGGTACTGGGCTCTTCTGACCTTATGTATCAGTTATTTACATCAGAATTTTCCTTCATGTTCTCCCAACCCAAGCTGTTTCAAGGGGAATAAAAGAAAAAAGCACAAACAAGACCTCCCCACACGCCCCTCCCCTCCCCCCCAAAAAATAATCCTGACAGTACATGTACTTTTAGATGTCGTACATACAGTGCAGCGACCCATCACAGCTGCCTTAGTAGAAGGCTCAGTATAATTTCTGTGGCTATTTAAATAAATAACAAACAACAACATGCAAATTAATCCTCCTGCTTTACTGATGTGGATCACAAGATACCGCTTATGGACAAATGTTTATTAAACAGCATATAAAAAAGCTTAATTAAAATCTCCCCAGAACAAAACAAATCTGAAGCCAATTACTTACAATGCCTGGAGTGAATGACCCAAGCATCATCTCTCTTCTTAAGGTAATTGTTCCCTCCCTTTCTCCCTTCCACCCACGCTCCTTGTGGCCTACACAACACAGGTGACCAGCCTTTGGGAAACTTCAGCATGCCTGTGGTAACACACACGTTCTTGGGACATTACAGCAAGAACAGATCCCAGTTTCAATCTATTTCTAGGCAAGCACAGAAACTGTAATAATTGCTTCGCCTCCTATCTGACTTGCACAGTACCAGCAGCATTATTTGGGGAGAAGTATGACTGACCATCAGTGATTAAGCCACTCTGACTGCAAAGAAAGAAAAGGAGGAGAATAAAAGAGGAACAAAATTGGCAGCGAGAATGAAGAGGTGGGAGAAATCCAATTAAACCCATAACTTAGCCCATTATCTTTAATTCTTGCTTAAACAAGGGGTCTTGTGGCAGACATTCTTTGTCCAGGTAATACCTTGATAGTAATGGAAGTTTTAA